GACCCCCAAGAGCAGGGTTTGGCTGGGGGAGTACACCAGGCAGGTTGCTGGAATGAATCTCTCTCTCTCTGTTGGAACATGCAGGGTCCCCAGCACTTTTCCCACGCTGCTGGAGCCGGGGGTTTGGGCAGGCTCGGTGCCCCCGGGGACCTTCCCCTGTTGTTGTACCTGCACCTTGTGGGCAAGCACGTGTTTTCCTCCCCTCTGCACCGGAGTTTCGCCGTTGCTGCGTGTCCAGGCAGCTCCCTGCCTGCTCTCAGCCTCCATGAAAAGGCACTGGGAAGGGGAGGGAAGGGGCAGGTTTCAGGGAAAGCAAGAGGAGCAGCGTAAAACGGGCCCACTGAATCCACACCCCACCTTGCTCGGGGAGGCACAGAGAGAAAGAAAGGGCTGTCTCTGGTCAGGCTGGGATCCAAACTCTGCCTGCTTTGTGGTAGATTTCAGGTGAGATCTGTTTAATTTATTGATAGGTAGGAAAGGATTTTTGCTTGCTGGCAGGTCCAACGCCACTGAGTAAAACCAGGAACATCGCTTTGCCCCCTCCCTACGGGATCTGGGGATCAGCTGAACTTGCAGCTGACAGAAGTGCTGCCTTTGCTCAAGAGCCAAGCTGTGCCTGTAGTGTTCCACGGGCAGCTGGTAGCTGCAGGATCTCAGTGCTGCAGCCCCTTGTTTGCACACCACAGGCTGCACCCAAAAACCAGACCACGGGGAGGGTAAACTGAAGTCAGTTTGGAGCTGCAGGAAGAGGATCAAGGCCCAACACGAGCACAAGGGATTCTTCTCCTCGTTCATTTGTTCATTAAAGCTCTTAGAGGGGCTGATTTCTCTGCATGGGTTTGCTGAGGAAATAAAAAAATCTCTGCAGATTTGCACTTGCTAAATGATCAAGCAGCAAGGGATGGGATGGGCTGGATCACTGACACAGGGAGGAGATGGGGGGAAGGTTCTCTCTCCCTGTATCCACTTCAGATCATGGCCCTCATTTCAGGAGCTGTGTCAGTCCCAGTTGCTCTGCACAGGCAAAGCCCTGAGTTCCTTTAAGAACCCTCCCCCAGGAGCAAAAATAAAGGAGATTCAATGATTCATAGCACTTGTATGGGGAAAACTTTATGGGCTTGTTTTTGCTTTTGCTTTTCGTTTTAAGTCTTTTCAGACTCAGTTTAAAAAACAAATCAAGCCCATTCTCTTCCCTTCCTGCTGGTGACAGGTTGCCCAGATGCCTGTCTGGGTCAGGGGGAAGCTGCTGCATTTTGTTTTGCCATCTGGCATCGCCCAGCTCTGCAGGGGTTTTTTTTAACCTCTTAATTCTCAGAGGCGTTTTCGTTCTCTGCTCACCCCCCGTCACTCCCCCACCTCTTCTTTCCTGAACCTTCCAAGGTAATTCCCATCAACTTTCAGTTTCAAATTATGGGGGTTTTTTTTGTTTGTTTGGTTTGGAGTTGAGGGATATTTTCTCTTCAGACACTGCTGTGACCGCTCCCTTTTCCAAGCAGAGCATGAAAAATGTCGAGGGAAAAATTAATCTCCCGCCCTCAGATTTTGCTCTGCCCAGCTCTGCCCACAGGGCACACTTTTGCCACCAGGGTTGGCAGAGGGTGGGTTTAGATTGGATGTTTTGTCACTGCCAAACCTTGAGCTCAGGCAATTTTCCTGTGCCTCGGTCCCTGTGTGCATGGGGGGATGTTCCAGGGAAATGCTGAGGAATTGTTGTGGATCTGTGGGCTGTGGGAGCACAGGAACAGCCCAGGGACGGGTCACAGGGGCTGCCAGGACTGTCTGAGGCATCATCACACCCTCAGCAGGAAGTTAATTAAACAACAGGCAAGGAAAAGACCATTTAAAGAGCTGAGTCTGAGCGACTAAAGGCCTTAGTCACTCAGAGATGAAGATCTCAGGCAAAAAACTGCTTTTAAAACAGTATTTATCCGAATTATGTTCCTTTAAGGAGTGTCTCAAATCGTCCAGTGAGGGCTGCTGGGAAATGTCACTCTTGTTCCCTGAGAATTCCAGTGTCCAGAAGGTTTGTGACAGCTGCCACCTCCTGTCCCCACCTGCAGCTGAGCAATCCCACGGCACAGAGCTGTCAGAGCTGTGAGAGGAGAACAATTTTTGACCTGAAGAGACTGAAAATTTCCTTCCCCCCTGTGAATGTGTGGATGTGTCGGGTTGAAACTTTCCAGTGTTCTGACAGGAACGTTCTCCAAATGCATCTCCTGGTTTCATTCGGGAAAAGAAAAGCTCTAAACACTCAGAAAGAAACAAACAAACAAACAAACAAACAAATCAACTGTGAAAGTCCATGTGGGGCCTATTTCAGAAAGGTATTTCACATTTTAAAAATACTGGAAATATTCCCCAGCCCTGGGAGTGTCCAAGGCTGGGTTGGACGAGGCTTGGAGCAACCTGGGCTGGTGGAAGGTTCCCTGCCCATGGCAGGGGGTGGAATGAGATGAACTTTAAGGTCCCTCCCACCCCAAAGCACTGTGTGATTCCATGATTTATCCAACCCATCACACAACATGGTGGAGATGGAAATGTAAGAGCACATTGGAAATGTCAATCACGCTGCATTTATGGATCAGGGGTTCCTCGTGGTGCCATTTGTACCAGAAATGCCCCTGTCACGTTTTTTAATCTCTGGGTGTTTTTTATTCCCCAGGCTCAGTGACCCTCCCAGGCTCTCAGAAGGCAGCACACGCAGTTCTGGGTGGAGTAAGAGCAAAAGGAAGGAGCTGGGGTGACCTGATGCTACTGCTGCCTCCAAAGGCTTCCCAAAATCAACCCACAGCCCCAGCCGTGCCTTCCTCCCGAGGGTGACACTGCATTTCCTGCAGTGCCCTTCCTCAAGATGGGCAGATACCCGTCAGTGTGACTCAGGAAAGGTTGCAGGGTTTGCCCCCGTGGGCTGAATCAGCTGTTGCAGGTGGAGAGGGAAGAGGTGGCACATGGAGAGTCCCCCCCAGGCATCACCAGTGTCACAGGGTATGCAGAGGTGGAGGATGGGACTGTGGATTGACAACCCCATCCCAAAGCATTTCACAGGAGCACAGAATATCCCGAGCTGGGAGGGATCCACAAGGATCATCCAGTCCAACCCTCGTCCCTGCACTGACACCCCAACAATCCCCCCCTGTCCCTCAGAGCGTTGTCCAAACACAGGACAACCTGCACACAGGTGACAGTCCCGCACCTGATCCCTTCCCTGCCGGGGCACCCACGGCCAGGGACGAAGGGGAGTGGGGCAGGAGAGCCAAACTTGGGGTGGACGGTGCCCTCTGTGCCCTCCACGAGAGGATGTTGTGACAACACCCAGCAGGGCACGGCGCTGCCCGGGGGGTGCTGAGCAGGGCGGAGGGAGCTGGAGTGCTCCGCCAAGGTTTTAAATCGGTGTCGCTGGCAGGAAAGCGTGTTTTGTTTGATGGGCAGCGACACCTCGTGGCATTGGCCACCCCCCGTGCCAGCAGCACGCCTGGATTTCCTGGGACAGCCTAAAATCAGGGGGAGTTTCTGCCACAGAGGCCGGCAGAGCCCAGATTTCAGGGCAGATGTTTCACAGGAAACTATGATGGTGATAGTGATGATGATGATGATGATAAGATTCACCTCTTAATGCTGACTGAAAATCACACCTCATCTTTTGAGAGAAGCTGCCTGAGGGCTCTTAGCAAGACCTTAATGACTGGTCCTGGAACTGCTTCTGATTCTGCCCAGGCTGGTGCAGGAAGCACAAGATCCATCCATGTGCTGGTCGTGGCTCTGATGTTTGGATGCTGAAGGGGAACAGACCCTCCAGATCCTTTGCTTCAGGTTTTTCCTTATAGAGGATTAGAGTTCTTTTTTTTTGCAGGCAACAGCCTGTCTGCTGGGCTGGGTGAGTTTTCCAAGTGGGGAAGAGCCAGGAAAACCCCTTTTCCCAAAGCTGTGTGGTAACTTCATTGACTCATTCCCTTTCCTCACGGCTCAGGCCTGGAGGTGACGGTGATGGGAAAGCAGGAGGGCAGACCGTGCCAAACAACAGCACAGCAGATCCAGGGATTTTTCCCCCTTCCCTCCCGGTGCACAGGGTGCAGTGGCACAGCTATTCCAAGCTCATCCCCCTGGGCATTGTCCTTGGGATGTGGCTGAGCTGGGATGTCTCCTGGTTTTCTGATCAAAACTGCTGCTCCTTGGCTTTGCTTCAGGAAGAACTGGGATGCAGCAGCAACTTGGGAACTGGGCTGTGCCCCAGGAGAGCTCTGGAGTCGAGAGGAACCGTGTTGTGAGAACATAAAACACCTTGAGAGCCTTGTGGCTGCAAACTCCAAGGCCAAGAGCCGGTGTGCTCGTGGATCTGGGAGCACAGGGGCCAAGCAACCATCCGTGTGCTGGCTCAGCCCTGGCAGCTGCTCCTGATCCTCAGGGATGTTTTTGGGCTCCTGACAACTAAAAACTAAGGTATAGGGAAGTTGCAGCATTGGCATTCAGAAAACTCACAGGATTTAGCAGATGGAGCCACGTCCAGTGGGAAGGGACGGATCCCTCTCTCACTTCTGCACCTTTTCCCCCCCATCTGGGAAGTGGAGTGATTCCCTAACTCCTGAAAAACCTGATGGTAACAGAAATAAAGAGAAAACCCTTGATTTCCTGTAAACACCAGGCTACCAGAGTGCCCCATCCTCCCGGTTCTTACTGTTGGTGGTTATAAACAGATTCCTCCAGCACCGAAACCGTGTTTGATTTCTATTAACACCTCACAGCCACACTCAGGTACATTCCAAAGGTCCCTTTTCTGACTGAGGTGCGTCCCAAGGCGAGGCTGAGCTTCCCCCGTGCTGCACAGCCGGTGCTGACGTGCACTGGAGGGCGTAGTATTGCCACCTTTCCCACCTCCTTCCCCCAAAAATCCTCTCCCACGGGCTCCTTGCCCGGTCCAACGTGCAGGGCTGTACCAGGAAGGGCTGGTGCGTGAGGGACAGCGACTCCACCATCCCCTGACCGCGACCAAGAAAAACAGCACCATGACAAGGCATGAAGAGAGGAGAGGTGTGACCAGTGGAGTGTTCTCCTGGAGGGTCGGGGTGCTGCTGGCTCTGTGCTTCCTGCACCGGGCTCCAGGTACCTCATTGTTACTTTTCCTTTCACCACCGGGCTTTGTTTGTAGGAGGAGAGACAGATACAGGTAAATTTTAAGGGGTTTGAATGGGAATGATTCACACAGAGGGAGTTATTCCACGGTAAAGAGGATTTAAAATCTGTCAGTCGAAGGGGTTTCGTTGAGGGCTGGTGATGGACATGCTGATCTGCCAGGAGAAACAGGTGCCAGGAAAGTCCACGTGGCAGAGCTGGATGCTGCCCCTCACTGCATTCCTGGCAGGATCTGCCTGGGAGGATGTTTTAATAAGAAATGAGGAAAAAATGACTATGTCACACCTGCTTCCATAGCCAATCTCCAGTTTTAAATGAACTGAGCTGCTCTGCCTCGAATTTTGACACCACCTTAATAAAAAACCAGGTGATATTTCCTAACCCCCAAAGGTATTTTTAAATAATCCACATAATTTTCCCTTTTGATCAGGTCGTGTTCAACTTCTCCCTCCTCAGAACGTTACACTGCTGTCAAAGGATTTTGAAATGATTTTGACATGGGCTCCAGGAGGAGGCTCTCCCCAGGATGTGACATATACTGTGAGCTATAAAAGGTAAGTCTGGCTGAAGGTGTGGCACAGGGCAAACAACTGTGCAGCTCCATTAATCAGTGTCACAGTGATCAGTGACCTTTCACCAAAACCAAACATTGCCCACGCGGTGAAAGTGCTCCAAACTCTGGGCGAGATTTGGGGCCCATCCCCCAAAACACTCCCTTCTCTTGCTGTAGAGGTTACACCAAACCAACGTGTCTGATATTGTGGAATTTGTGGCGTGGTTGTTTCTTCTTTCAGCCAGGATCACATGGACAAATGGCTGGAGGTTCCTCACTGCAACAACATCTCCAGAACCTCCTGCGTTCTGACCTGCGTGCTTTCCAACATCTACGTCAAAGTGCGGGCTCGAGTGAGGGCGGTTTCGGGACCACTCCAGTCCCCCTGGGTCAAATCCCGCTTCAAGGATTACTATTCAGAGGGTGAGTGCCTGTCAGGTTCCAGCCTGGATGGGGGGGACATCCCCACAGCAGATGAACAGCTCACACCCCACAGGCACAGCAGGCAGGAGCTTTGCAGAGCCCAAACTGCAGCGAGAGCCGATCATTTGAAAATCAGTTTGCTCATCGGTGCTCTGGGTGAACAAACTGGCTTCGAGCTTTCCTTGTGCCAGATAAAAATGGGTGTTCCTTTATCTCCCTCCCCATGTAGAGCAGTCACAGCAAGGTAAGACCCAAACAAGCACCACTCTCAGGTCTGGCTGCTCAATTTGCAGTGGAGTTGGCTCCCCCCGAGCTGATCCTGAACGTCAAGGAGAATTCAGTCCATGTGAGTGCCTCCTTCCCTTTGCCCACCTGCATGGAGAAGCTCATTTGGAAGTATGAATTGAACCACTGGGAAGCTGGATCTGAAGACGAGGTCAGTAAAAGTGGCTCTTCGTGGAGGGAAAGGAGGAACAATGGTCAGGTTGAACTGAAATAGCTTCAAATCTCTGGATCCAGGGCCCAGGGAAAAGGAACTGGCCAAACCAGAGTTAAACCAAAGCCAGAGAAAAAAAGTAGATGTGAGTGTATGTGTGTGTGTTGTGTGTGTGTGTGGGCATCCTTATTTTACTGGCAGTTCCCTATTTTTATCAGGAAGTGGATGCTGCACTACAGTCGACACCTGAGGCTTAAAACAACCAGCTCAGGTGCCACCAGCAGCATTCCCTGGCAGAACAGAGCACAGCACAGCTGGAAATGCCACCCTGGGATCTGTGACCCTGGCAGAGATGCTTGCCTGGAGTGTCTCTTCCGTGCACCTCCCCAGCCCTGAAGCCACACAACGTAACAGAGGGAACCGTGGGCTGAGACAGTGGAGAAACACCCCCCAAATAGTGAGAGAACCATCTTTCCGATCCTCTGTTTTGTTTCCAAACAGAAAAAATATGAACACAAATTCAGGAGGGACACAGTGACTATCGATACCACTGCACTCAGAGGCAACTACTGCTTCAGTGCCAGATCCATCTACGACAGCATCGACACCAAGTACAGCGAATTCTCCCAGCCAGTGTGTGTGCCATTAAACCACAAAGGTATGTGGGCCTTTCTCTGGTCCTTCCCAGAGAAGGATGTGGTGAGACATCAAGTGGGATTGGGGCAGGTCAAAGATTTCCACCAAAACTGGCTCTTCACCAAACCAAACCAAACCAAACCAAACCAAACCAAACCAAACCAAACCAAACCAAACCTGAACGTCCTGAATACTGTACTTGAGTTGTGCTCTTGAGGAAATTTTGGGGGAAATATGTGAATAAAGCCTCATGTTGTCCCTGATCCAAGTAAGGCACTGGCTGGTGTCAACAGTCCTTTGTGGCCATGAACTGTGAATTAGAGTCTGACCTTGGGCAAGTCTGTTCTCCTTCCTCTGCATTTGCAAAATACAGACCTTGAGCCCAACATTTTTTGAGGTTTCTGAGAGAACAGCTGAATACAAAGCCCATTAATTGCTACAAACCCAGCAGCGACAGGAGATCATTTTTCCCTTTTCTTCCTCCGCAGTGAAGTTCCCGCTCTCTGCCACGATTCCTGTGTTTGCCCTCCCCATCTTCCTGATCGGTGCCTTCATCCTCTGCTTCTTGAAACAAGATGCCAAGCAAAGGAAGATGCCTCAGACTTTGGTATGGCCCAAATTTTGGGGTCCCCTCCTGCCTCAAAGTCCTGCTGGTTTTCAGAGGGGAGCTGGGGAGGAGTTGGGGGGGTCCTGCACTTCTCAGTTCTACATTCACAAGGCCCATTTTCAGTAGGCTTTCCTATATCCAAACTTTTGTATCACTAATTCCCTGTCTCCCTCCTTTTCCCTGGATTCCCAGGATTTTCGTCACCTCCAAGCTGCTGGAGCAGCTTTTTCCTCGGAGCTCAGCAAAGAGGAATTCTGCAGTGATGACCTGAACTGCACAGAGAAGCCAGTGGCACAAAGGAGGGCAGACAGAGCCTTAGCAAGGAACAACCCACCAGGGGTGGCTTCGTTCCTATCATCATCACCATCACCATCATCATTAGATGATGATGAGGAGGAGGAGGAGGAGGAAGAAGACAGCGGCACTTTCATCCCATACCACCAAGTGACTCGCTTTCCAAAGAGACATCTGCACTGCCAACCACCCCAAGCAGCTCAGGGGAAAACAAGCTTGGATTCAGGAACTGGAGGTCTCTCTGGGGACAGTGAATCCATGCCTGACCTCAGTACCTCGGGGTTCTCCTCCTTCCCAGAGAGAAAGCACGAGGTGGACACCTCGGGATCCCAAGCAGATGAGGAGGCGTCCCTTTCTCACAGTTGCTCTTTAGGGAGAATATCCCTCACTGATGTGAGATTCCCAGGTCTCAGTGAGCAGCCAGAGAGGGGGGAGAGCCTGGAAATGACCCTCCTTCAACCCCTGAGGGAGGGGGTTTGTGCCAAAGGCTCTCCCGGTGAGCCCCACCCGCAGGAGGAGGGTCACCACTTCACCAGCTGTTACCAGAAATCAATCACAGAGCTGCAGGTCCAGATCCACGGGACATCCCAGCTCAGGAAGGATCAGCTGCTCATCCCTTTGCACACTCTGCAGGTGGCAGAGGACGAGGGGATCTCGAGTGACTGTGACAGTGACAGCTTTACTGAAGGGACACCTCCCACCTCCACGGTGCTCAGCGACACCTTTGAACCTCCAAACAGGGGGGACAAACACAACCCAAAGCTTCAATTCAAAGGCTACAGCCATGCACATTACTTGGGAAGGACCTAGAGAACCCAGAGTGCCTGGAAAATGCTGCAGAGCTCCAGATATCCAGGCAGGGACACCTGAACAAGGACAAATAACTCAAGAGCGGTGCTGGATTTTTATTTATTCACTTAAAGAGTTTTCTCTGCTGAAAACAACACCACCCAGACCCGTGTGGGACCATCATCTGGGTCCTGAAAACCCAGTGTTGTGCCTGCACGTTGATTTGGAGGAGATTTTAAACTGTTAGTGCCACATTTGCTCCTCCTTAACTGCAGAACTACTGGGCTGGCAGCACCTTCCTGAGACATTCAGCAACATCTGGTTTTTGTGGGATGAAAAAGTTCTCCACCTCAGCCTACAGAGAATCACCTTCTGTGTTCCAACAGAGGGATAAATATGCAGCATGTTTGTTTATTTATTTTTTGTTTCATATGAATGTACTCGTTGAAGCTGAAACTCCCCCTGCTGTGCAGAGGGTTTGAGAGCAATAATATGTTGATGTTTTGATATATAACTCCATGTGTATGTGTTTTTGTGTCCCAGAGCTACAGAGGGTTGACTGCAGATCACCCTGAAAAATATCACATTTTAAAACAGGACCCCACCCAGAGCTTCCTAATGCTGTGGTTGGAGTAGAATCCTGTGAGACTTCCCAGTGCTAATTAAGGGCCCAAATGAAAGTCAAGAGGGGAGGTTGGAGAAAGGATCCATCAGCATGAATTATCCTTTTTTTCCCTTGCCTGTCCTCTGCAAAGTGTCCTCAGGTACATCCTGCACTGTAATCCCTCCAGTTCATTCAGGAAGATACAGATGATACAGACGTCATCACCACCCAGTTTCTTGTGCAATCAGGAAAAAGCCCCAGGCTTTGAGTTACAGGAAGCCCTGGAGTTGTGTAACCTCCACAAAATTATTTTGGCATGTCCCAGCTCTGCAAACAGGGCCTGGGATCCCTTCTTTGTCTTTCCAGGGGGAGCTGAGGGACAGGCTGCAGTTTTCCACTGCAAAAGGGTCAGTCCCAGTGCTCCCCCTCTTCACAAAGACCTTTAAGATCATCAAGTCCAACTGTTAACCCAGCACTGCCAAGCCCACCGTGCCCCCAGGTGCCACAGCAGTCACCAACCTGGCTGCAGCCCCTCCCCAGGCTGTGAGGGAGCTGAAAGTTTGGGGAGGTTTGGGGTTGGAGCCCCGTTAACACCCCAGCAGAGCAGGGAACAGGAAGAGCTTCAGGAACAGACAATCCACGAGATGCAGAGGGAAGCAGAAGGGGTAGTAAACTCTGTCACGTGCCTGGCCACGAGGGCAGAGCAGTGGAAGGAGTTGTTTCCAGCTTCAGAGGCACACAGGGATTGTGTTCTGATTAACTTGGCTGCAGGTGTGACCAAAGAATCACAGAATCACCTGAGCTGGAAGGGACCCAAAAGGCCTGGCACAGGACACCCACAAATTTTGCTTATGGGGCTCATTTGTCATAATAATAATTAAAAAAAATCTATTAGGATATTTAAATAGTCTTTAGGCAATAGAAGAGCACTGCCATAAGGATTTGTCTAATGCACAGCTGTCCTACATGTTCTCAGTGCTCAGCAAGATATTGGTTCTAAATCTGCATCTCCTGGAGATTTCAGTTTTGGTGGAAGAGGAAATGTCTCTCCCTCTTCTGAGAAAAAAACTGAACATGTAATTTAGTAGCACAATAACAAGGCTATGGAAAAGGAACTGTATTTCCAACAGCCTGGAGATTTAACATAAACAGTTCTCACCAGGCACTGGGGATGTCCAGAACAGAGCCTGAAATTGTAAACAAACACAAAAATGATCTGTAGGCTCTACAGTGGGCTCTGCACAAAGCACATCCTCCTCCTATAGAAAGGCCACCTCTTTTCTACCTCCTTCCTCTGTCAGGTGAGAGAACCCACCTGGCAGGGCAGAGCAGGGCAGAGCTGAGGAGCTGGTGCTCTGCCAAGGCTGCGTGTGCTGGTCATTTGGTTCCCATCCAAGGTCAGTGTGAAGAGTGTAAAAACAAAGTGATCTGGCTGACTTACACTCTGAGAAAGTGTTCAGAGGTACTTCTTGAGGAAATAGGTGCTAAAGCCAGCCAGGAGCACCAGCACTGAGTTTTAATTTCCAGAGTTTTAACAAGCCTGAGTCACCTAACCAGGCTCAAACCCCAGAAACCTCGGGGAGGGCTTTGGGGCAGGAAGCTCTCAGCACAAAGGTGTTTGGCTCTTTTTCAGGAGCTGGGGACTCTCTGAGGCTCTGGCTCGTGCACCTTTGTACAGTCAGGTGGGGAGAGGAGCTCCAGCCGTGGCTCCTCACGCACGCGCACGGCGCTTCGGGGCCGCTGAGCTCAGAGCCCAGGGAAGGCGGGATAGGAGCTGTGCTGTTACTGAGCAACAAATCCAGCCTGGCCTCACAAGAAAGAATTCAGCTCCCATGAAAGGTGATTCACCTGCCCTGGGGATCGGCTGCCTGCCCTCCCAGCCCAGCCTGCACAGGCATTCATGAAGCGATTCCTGATCGTCCTGGCTGGATTTGCGGTGGTCGGTGAGTGCTGCCTTCTCCTTGCCTGGCTCTAATTGGGGTGTTTCTGTTTGGTCCTGTAGGATGGGGCACAGTTCTGTCATGTTTACTGAATTAACACCTAGAGAGTGAGCTGCTGTCTGAGGTTTCATAAAACTTCTTTCCCTTGTTGTTCTCTCCTTTTAATAATTCCCGTGTAGGTCGGTGTGCTCGGCGCTTCAAGGATTAGTAGGGACACAAAACGATTCTTTCACTTCAAAGCATTTGCCATTGTGTGTTACAGCCCAAATCCTACAGGAGTAAAGGATATTCCTTCATCTCAGTGGGCTTTGGATCAGTCTCCTTGTGCCTTAAGCAGAGACATCAATGAATAAATAACCCTGGTTTTAGAAGAGGTACAAACAAATAATCATAGAATCATCACAGAGTGGTTTGGGTTGGAAGGGATATGGAAGAACATCCAGTTTCACGCCCTGCCATGGGCAGGGACACCTTCCACTAGCCCAAATTGCTCCAACCTCGACTTGGACACTTCCAGGGATGGGGCAGCCACAGCTTCTCTGGGCAAACCTGTGCTAGGACCTCCCCATCCTCCCAGGGGAGAATTTCTCCCTTATATCTAATCTAAATCTACCCTCTAAAAGCCATTTAATCTTACTCCAGATGTGGCAAACTGACTGCTGGGATAATGAAGGATAAACTTGCTGTTTCCAAGCTCCAGCTTGTCATTATCTGCTCCTGTCTGTGCTCTTACACCGCAGGGAAGGCTCCTTCAGAATCTCCTAGGACAGAAGGTCTGTCACACTGTGAAATATCCTGGTTTTCCCCTGCCCACACTTGGCTGTGCTTGTGTTACACTGCTTTGCATAGCAGTTGTAGTGTGGATAAATGTGGGAAGGTAGAGATTTCCCACTCCTGATACGATCAGGGTATTGGTGACTCAGTTTTCAGTGTGCTCAGACAGGGAAACCCACCCCAGGACGGGGGTGCTGAGCCTTGAACCAGCAGAGGCAGGTGTTGAAATCAGGGCTAGAGCTGGACTGAATTTCAGTCCATCCCTGTGTCATTTCCCTGCCCAAATGCCACACACAACCCTGTTCCAGGTGTTTATCGACACCACAAACTGAGCTGAGTGATGTATAAGTGACCTACCTCTGAGGATCTGTCTGTAAATTGAATTTACAAGAGCGTAGAAGTCCTGAAGGTTGCCCTGCAACTTAGAACCTTGTGACTCAGCCCTGGGAAATTTTGCAGTGTTTGTTCTCGGGGCAGGAGACAAAAGTCTGTAGGGCATTTCTGCAGCACCTGCTCAGAGCCACTTTGCTGCAGGGGGGACTGTGGTTGTGTCCTGCCCTACAGGGACAGGTGACATCCCTGCTCACCAAAGCCAGAGCCCATCCTCTGCGGGGCAGAGCAGCAGGGCTTGGAAAGCAGGGAGCTGGGAGAGTTGTTTGCTTTCAGCCTGGCACACCCAGATCAGAGTCCAGACGTCAGGTCCCTGCGTGTCACTCTGGGCAGATCCACCCAACAAAACACAGAGCAGGAGAGGTCAAGGCAGCCACATCTCCAGGGATGTGAAACTGAGCTCTGCAGGCCACTTCCTTGAGCAGGGGCAGAAAGCAGAGGCACTCACAGACATGATTCTGGCCTTGAAAACAGCTTATTATTCTTATTTTACCATTATTGTTGTTTTACCGGTCTTGTTTTACCTGCTTTAAAAGAAACCTGATAAGAAACTCAAGGATTCTACCTCTGACTTGAGTTTTTGAGGCCTTTCTGTGTAACCTCCTGGCTTGCATTTCTTTGGGGTGAGTCAACCATCTGCAAGGTGTTTGCATGGTGCTGTGTGCAGGGTTTGAAGTCTTGCTCTGCCCAAGCTTCTGCTTTGAGGCCCAGCTGCAGCAAAATATCAGGAAGTGGCATCCCTGATATTTCTGCTCACTGAAAAGCACCTGACCCACGTTCATCTGAGGGCTGAGATGCCAGAATATGCTTTTTAATACCAGTTTCTTTGCCCCTGCAGGCATTGTGACTGCGGGGAGATCGTCATGTCTGAAACGTGTCGCGTTTTCTTCCACGAACTTTGAGAACATCCTGACCTGGGAAACAGAAGCAGACACTCCCCCTGGCACTGCATTTGATGTCCAATACAAACAGTACGTGGAGTTTGCTTCTCCTTGGAGCTGTGCTGTTCTTAGGGAGAGAGAGAGGAGGCCCAAGAAACAAAAGCTGGGTTTGCTGTTTCTCCCCCCCTGTTTTGCTGTTACAGAAACAGCTCAGCAATGGGGAAGAGCTCAGTGAAGGGCAGGGCTGTTCAAAGTGCTACGTGATGCTCAGTTAGGCAAACATTTCACATCTTGGGTTGCCAACTTTGCTCCCTTCCTGAGCCGCTCTTTGCCTTCAGTGACTTCCTTCTCTACCCCACCTGTCCCCACCGGCGAGACCGCCTGTCCTCCTCCTCTTCTGTCCCATCAAACTGAAAGCTTGTGTGTGTTTAT